GACTGTGCCAGGCAGCCTGCCAGTACTTGCTAGGTACACTGGTGAGGCAATGGTGAGCCTCCAGGCTGCCCTCAGCACGGAGCCTAACGGCTCCGTCCTGGACAGAAGCCTTCTTCTGGCTCTGCCCCTACCCTGGCACGTCATCCCGTGGAAGAGGAGTGAGGTACTTTCAGTATCGTGTTTTCTGGGAAGGCTACTCCAACTCATACCCCTGGGAAGTAGCCAGTGAGGGGAGGGAGCTGCCAAATCACAGCCAGGGCATAAGGAACATCCGAAAAGGAAGAACCAGCCCAGAACCTCAGCTTTCCTTGGTACTAGTTGGGCAGGGTGCCATTACCCTCTGGGTTTAGTTATTTTCCACTCCGGTATCACCATGAAATGACCCATTCAGGCATGGAGCTGTGGGCAGCGATCTCCAGGCGTTGGCGACCCCGGCCCACGCCTGGATCAGCCGTTGCTTTCTGCACACACGGCCGTGCCGGCCGGGCTTTGTCTCTCGCTGAGACTCTATCGCCGCTATAAATAACCGGTGATATCATCCCGTCCCCGGCATCGCTGCACACAGGCCGGGGAGCGCCCTCCCGTGGCACCGGGCAGACCCTAATTCCAGGCAATCCAGTACGGAATCCAGCAGCCATCCTCTCTCTGGCCCCGTTGCTGGGTTTTGGGGGAATGATGCTGGATGGGAGGTGCTCAGTGATGCCAACATCATGTCTTTTCCCTCTTCCCAGGTGCTGGTGCCCACCCGTGTGGGCCAGGTGTATGTCTATGACTCACCCAAGGGTGAGCAGGTCGAGTATGATTTCCCTCGCCACCTCATCTCCACGGGCTCCCAAGAGATCTATGATGTGCCGCCTGTCCGAGGAGGGGTCCCAAGCCAGTTCAGCCAGGAGGTGAGGCTGCTTGAGGTGTCGGGGGAAATGTCAGGCTCTGCCCTTAAGAATGGGAGATGATTTGTCACAACCTGAGATCCATACCATGCTAAATTGCACCCAAAACTGTACTTCACAGACCTCAGTGCTGCTTCTGAGCACCTCCACTGTTCCCAGCTCGTCCCTGTGAGGAGGTGGGTGGCCACACCATCTCTGACACATTGTCCTATGTCGTGTTCCCCCCCAACCAGGTCTATGACACTCCTCCCATGGCAGTGAAGGGTCCCAGTGGGCAGGACCCGGGCCAGGAGATCTACGACGTGCCCCCCAGCGTGGAGAAGAACCTTCACCAAACTGTAAGTGCTGCTGGGAAGCTCCCAGCTTCTTTGTGTAAGAATGACCAACAGATTTTTACAGAGAGAAAAATTTACTAGATCAGTCTCCCCAGAGATGTGGTGATGTCCCTGGCACTGGAGGTTTTCACAGTGCCAAGTAATGGGTTGCTGGATGTTCACATCCGGGGATGAAGTTGGACCAGATGATCTTTCGAAGTCCCTTCCTACCTGGGCTGCTCTAGGATTTTTTATTCCTGTCCCTTGGGGTGCATGGCTTCATCCTGGTGCCCACCCAGTGCCATCTTGGATGCCCAGTGCTGGCACTTGCATGCCCCGCAGCTCAGGGCAGCCAGCCTGCGCCTCCACACCTACCCCAGGCCAGCTCTCCCAGCAGTGCTTATAGTGCCACTGCTCTGCCCTTGCAGGTGTACGATGTTCCCCCCTCCGTGAGCAAGGATGTGCCGGATGGCCCAGCACGGGAGGAGACCTACGATGTGCCACCCGCCTTTGCCAAGCAGAAACCCTTCGACCCCTCTCGCCACCCCCTCATCCTGGCGCAGCAGGAGCCCTACTTGCCGGAGGATGTCTACGATGTGCCCCCAGCAGCTGGGAAAGGTGCTCCTGAGGTGCCACTCTCCCACGAGATCTATGATGTGCCCCCTAGCCTCAAGAAGCTGGGGGGATCCCCCTTCCCCTCCCAAGAAGTGTACGATGTGCCCCGGGACCTGCATGCCCCAGGCAAGGGCTCTGTGGACACGGAGGGCGAGTACATCTACGACGTCCCACCACAAGTGGACCGTGAGGCCAAGGGCGCTGATGGCAAGCGCCTCTCAGCCTCCAGCACAGGCAGCACCCGCAGCAACATCTCCACATCTTCGCTGGACGTGGTGCCTGTGAAGGAGCCGGCGAAGGGAGCCGGCAAGGAGTTCTCCCTGGACTTGGATGCCGCCATGGAGACACTGGCCAAGCTCCAGAGTGGCGTCAGCAACGCTGTCTCCTACCTCATGTCCTTTATCAGCACCAACTGGCGCAGCCCTGAGCACATGGAGGCGAATGCTGCCAACATCTGTGGGGCAGCCGAGGGTGTCCGGACGGCCCTCCGGGACCTGCTGGAGTTTGCCCGGGGGGCAGTGGGCAATGCTGCCCAGGCCTCCGACCGCTCCCTCTATACCAAGCTCAGTAAGCAGCTGCAGAAGATGGAGGAGGTCTACCAGGCCCTGGCACGGCATGGCCAAGCGCTGGATGCTTGCCACTGGGCCCCCAGTGCTCTGGCCAGCAGCAAGCCAGGCACAGATGACTTGGAGCACTTCATCATGCACTCACGTGGTGTTCCCGATGACACCAAGCAGTTGGCTTCCTTCCTGCATGGCAATGCCTCCCTTCTCTTTAAACGGACAAAACCGGCGGGGGAGAGTGGTGGCCATGGGCCCACTCACCCCTCCGACAAGGCCAGCAGCATCCAGTCACGGCCCCTGCCCTCCCCTCCCAAGTTGCTGACCCAGGAATCACCTGACGGGCCCTACGAGAACAGTGAGAGCGGCTGGATGGAGGATTATGACTATGTCCATCTCCAGGTGGGCATGGGTATGGGAGCTGCTTCCCACAGGGAATGTTTGTTATGATAGTGGCTCCCTGGCACAGGGGGGATTAGACAGCTCTGCTTCTGCCTGTTGTTTTGCTCTTGCCCTCCAGCTTGAGGGCTGGGTGGCACAGGGATGTCCCAGGGCAGGTAGGGGCTCTCTGGCAAGGCTGATGTTGCTGACCCCTTCCATGTCATGCCCCTGCAGGGCAAGGAGGAGTTTGAGAAGACCCAGAAGGAGCTGCTGGAGAAAGGCAACATCATCCGGCAGAGCAAGGACCAGCTGGAGCAACAGCAGGTAAGGGCACTGGGACAGGCAGGTGGGTGGTGCTACACACAGCATCTGGGGCATGCAGGACCCCATGTCTTGCTTCCCTTGTAACCTCTGCTCCTGGTCTGACCACGGTTCTCTTCCCTGGATGTTCCCATGGTGCATTCTACCTTGCCTTCCATACCAGTGCTATGCCAGGCAAGAGGGGTGTAGGCACCTCGATCCTGGAAAGGAGCCTGGCATGGCTGTCCTGGGGCTGGCGCTGTCCCTCACTATGTTCCCTGGGGCTGGTGGCCATGGCCACTTGCGCTAGTGGCTCCACGGAGGGGAGGGAGCAGGTGTTGGCTCAATGGCCGCCCTGCCCCACACGTGTCTCTCCCACAGCTGAAGCAGTTTGAGCGGCTGGAGCAGGAGGTGACGCGCCCCATCGACAATGACCTGTCCAACTGGAGCCCCCCCCAGCACTACAGCCCCGCGCGGGGCAGTGGGACACTGTGTCCTGCTGACCGCCAGCTCCTCCTCTTCTACCTGGAGCAGTGCGAGGCCAACCTCACCACGCTCACCAATGCTGTTGATGCCTTCTTCACCGCCGTCAGCACCAACCAACCTCCCAAGATCTTTGTGGCCCACAGCAAGTTTGTCATCCTCAGCGCCCACAAGCTCGTGTTCATTGGAGACACGTTGTCCCGCCAGGCCAAGGCCCAGGACGTCCAGCACAAGGTGATGCACTACAGCAACCTCCTCTGTGAGATGCTCAAGGAGATTGTGATGACCACCAAGGCGGCTGCCCTCCACTACCCATCTCCTGCTGCCTCCAAGGACATGGTGGAGCGTGTCAAGGACCTCGCCAACAGCACGCAGCAGTTCAGGATGGTGCTGGGCCAGCTGGCAGCCATGTGATGGCCTCAGGGCCACTGACCCCTCTCTCTGGCCCCCACTCTTCCCCAGACATGCATTTCCCTCCATGCAAGTCCTCTCTGCCCGGTGTAAGCAGACATGTACATAGAGACTCCCATGCACACCGAGAGGTTGGGGTTCTGTGGGAACAGAAGTGAGGGGCTGCAGCCATCATATCCCTTCCTCCTCCCTCTGGCCAGGGGCCAGGAATGGTCTGAGCTGTGCCCATAATGAAGCAAAGCTGGGAGGTGGATCTATATCCACTCCTTGCCTGCTGTCCTCTCTCCATACAAAACCAGCAGCCAGTTGTGGGCTGAAGGGCATGGGGCCATGTCCTGGTGAGGCAAGGATGTGCCTGGAAATTTGAGATGCAATGTGAGATGCCCTTTGTGATGCTGTGGCTGCTCTGCTCTCGGGAGGACTCTGCGGTGGCCAGGAGATTCTAATGGTGTGGAAGCCATCCCATGTGATGGTGGGACAGTGTGACAGAGATGGGTTATACTGTCCCTTTGTGTGCTGGAGGCTGGGGAGAGGGATGGTGGGGAGCTGCTGGGGCAGGAAGGGGCTAACCTGTGCGTTCTCACGTCTCGGGTTGTGCTACAGTACCAGCTGTAACCGAAACGCGAACTGAAATTGGTGCCTTTTGAACACAGGGGAAGCTTCCGCTGGTTCCCGGAGCTACCAAGGGGTGGCCCCCTCCAAAACTTGGCCCCAAGTCCCTCAGCAGTATAAAGATTTGCCTAGAAACATCCCTTATCTCTTGGGTCTTTGCGTGTGACTACCAAAGTGAGGGAGAGGCCCTGTGGCAGGGCAGGGGCGATCTAGTCCTCCTAGCCTTTGGAGATGAGCTGCACAGAGCGTTAATGGGACACAAGGGATGGTCCTAAGAGGGTTGGGGGGAAATGCAGAGTGGCAGTGCAGGGCAGGTGGGGCCAAAATGGGAGGGTATGAGTTTGGTGTGGCACAGAGGATGGTAGCCCCTGAACCCAAGCATTCCTGGCGCTGGCTATCCATCCTTTCAGAACCTCAGGAGCCATGGCAACCTCAGTCCTAGAGGCTCTTCTGGTACTGCTGTAGAATCACAACACACTTATGGACACCTTACAGTCCACAGCTCCTCAAGAGTATCCTCATTCCCAGCCCCTCGAGTGCTGTCACCCCCAGCCCCATGACCCCTCTCATGCCCACGGTACCGACAGGAAACCAGAGCCCAGTGCCACGCAGGTGCTTGTTGAGGGCCTTGCGGGTGACTCCGGGCTCCACTGTCACCGAGAAGTCCTCGAGGCTCAGATCCGCGATGGCATCCATGCGGCTCAGGTCAAAGCAGACGCCGCCCTGGCACAGGGGCACCCGGGGCTCAGGGCACGGCGGGGCAACCAGAGCTGCTGGGGGGGTCAGAGGTGCCGGGGGAGCCGATACCTGCACGGCATTGACGCCTCCTTCCAGGCCGGTACCGGTGCCAAAGGGCACCATGGGCACACGGCAGCGGTGACAGAGGGCTGCCAGCTCCTGCACCTGCCCCACCGCCTGGGGCCACACCACGACGTCTGGAGGGGCACAGCTGGGGGACAGGCAGCACCACTGACCAACTGACTAAACCACTTGACCCTCCCCATGGCTCTTCCCCAACCTGGGACTTGTCACATGCCCCTTCCCTTCCCCACGGCCCCTGGTCTAGCCAAATATTTCCCATCCCCAGGCCCGGCCCCTTCCCATGGTCCTTCCCCTGCCCAGAGCCCTCTCCAGGGGTCCCGGCTCCAGGGACACTCACGGGTGCATGGACTCATCGTGGCCGTGCTGCTCCCGCACTGCTGTGGCCGTGGAGACATTGGGAGCCCCAGCCACGGCCCTCAGGGCCTCCACGAAGTCAGGGGGCAGCGAGGGCTGCGGGGGGGAACAACGAGGACCCGTCAGGGATGCACTGGGGAGGGTCTGATCGCGGCCGTGGGCCAAGGGCACGAGGACCTGAATGCCCTTCGGAGCCCCGGCCCCACCTTGGAGCAGCAGCTGCGGCGCCCCAGGGCTGCCCCTAGCGCCAGCACCCTCCGCAGGGCCATGTCGCAACGGGACAGGAACGGGAACAGGGGAACTGCACAGGACCAGGACACTGCCCTCCCCCGCAGCCCGTCTGTCCCTCCCCCATACTGACACCTTAAGGTGGCTCCAGACACACGCCAGTGTGTCCCTGCTGGAGGGATCTGCGTCCCACCAGTGCCCGTGGTCATGTTCCCATGCTGTCCCCTGCCTGAGCGGAGTCACTGCATTCGCCATGGCCCCTGCCCTCACACGTGTCCCCATGTCTGCTCAAGTATCCCTGCAGCTGCTCGGGGGTCCATGGGCCCATAGGAGACCACATGTCCCCGTGCTCCTCCCCTCCCAGACCGGAGTCACCGTGTCCTCCTGCCCATCTGTCCCCATTCCCAGCCAGGGGTCTCCATGCGCCCCTGTCTCTCTGTTCCCATTCCCAGCCAGCAGTCACCATGTCCCCAGGTCCATCTGTCCCCATTCCCAGCCACGTGTCCCCATGCCTCTCAACCCTCCTGGACCGGTGTCTCTCTCTTGCCCAGAGAATTGACCCCAGCATGTCCCCATCCTCAGCCGCGTGTCACCCGGCCACCCGCCTGCCCCGTGCCCCGCTCCCGTCCGTCCCGCCATGGTGACAATGACACAGTGCTCAGGGGGTCGCAGCGTTTATTGCAGGCCTCAGTTGGCCTCCAGGATGGAGTCGATCCAGTCGCGGAGCTTGGTGACGCGGGCGTACACGCCGGGCGTCTGGGGGTCGCAGGTGCTGCTGCCCCAGGACACGATGCCCACCAGGTTCCAGGCGCCGTCCTTCTGGCACACCAGCGGGCCGCCGGAGTCGCCCTGCACGGAGCAGCGGGTGAGCGCCGGGGCGGGGCCCGGGGCCACCGGGGAAGCAGCGGGGACCGGGGGCACGTACCATGCAGGAAGAGGCTCCGTCGGCGCCGGCACAGACCATCACGTCGCGGATGCGGTAGCCCCAGAACTCCTTGCACTGGGTGTTGGTGAGCAGGGGCAGAGCCACCTGCTGCAGCACCGCCGGCGTGTGCGAGGCTGCGGGAAGCGGGGCGCGTCAGCGCCGGCACCGGCACCGGGAGCGGAGCAGGAATGGGGAAACGGCTGGGACGGGGAGCGGGGGGACGAGGAGGACAGGACCGAGATGATGGGGGAGATCGGAACAGGAATGGGGATTGGTGATGGGGATGAGGCATGGGACTGGGACGAAGATGGGGATATGGGAATGGGATGGGGATTCAGATTTGGATGGGGATCTGGATGGGAGATTGGCATGAGCATTATGATTCACATGAGGACAGGGACT